CAAGTCAAAATTTTACAAATAATGATTAAAATAAACAGTAAACTTTACAACTAAGCCGCCGTATATTCCTAATTGAGTCTCAACATTTTCAGGATTGGGAATAAATTTTGTGAGCCACCAATCTGATTGTCATTAAAAGCAAAGTTTGTGTAATGATTTCGTAAATAGGTCAAAGGTTCATCTAACGTTTATCGGTAAAACTTACCGCTTAAAAATCTGATAGTAGCCATGAAAAAGAAAGAAAGAATCATTAAAAATGTCAAACCAAAGCCAGTCGACTTTTGGAAATAGTCCAAATATACACGATATCCAACTTTGGGTTCTTTTCTTCTAGACCTTGGTTCGGAATCAATCATAGGCATTATCTCGCGTTCATTTAAACTATGAATCGTCAATTGATTTCTTTCAACAGCTTTAGCTGTAACATTTAATTCACGATTGACATGTGTACCCATCATTCTCGTTTTGCCAGCTCCTCCGAGAATTGTTAAATTATTTCTTTCTATCATCTTTGAAATTGTTTGCTCATTAATACTTGCTTGCATTGTATGAGAATTTATCTCTGCAATACGATTGATTGTTGCTTCGTTCGCCTCCGATTTTGAAGGTGTACGAGTGAATGGAATTGAATATTCGAGATTTGTACCATTTTTGGATTCCGTTACATATATAGAATCCAATGGAGGTTCATCAAGTTCGTCCATAACTGGTTCTAAACGAATTTCATTAATGAGTTCATCAATCTGATCCGGGTCTTCAATTTCCATGTATTCGCCAATTAAAGATGCAAGATTCACATCTTTGGTTGTTAATTCTTCATAAGTCCCTTCTTCGAAACATTCCCCACTTTTCATAACCATAATGCGATCACATTCAGAAAGATACTATAATTAAAATTCATGAACGTTAAAAGACATCTATAAAAATTTAGAAGCTCTTAAATATATAATTACCTGCAATTGATTTGTTACAAATATGACAGCTTTGTTCTAAAATGAAACATATAACATATGAATATGTTAAAGATCATGGTCCAATGTTAAAATTCAAGTTAACATAAATTAATTATACCTCGAGGTATTTGCGAATACATTCGTGAAATATATGTTTACCGACTACAGGATCCATAACACTTTATATTTCGATAAAATGTGTAAGTATAAATATAAAAATGAAGGAAAAAAAAATAAATTAAATTAAACCGATTTCAAACCTAAGTGGATCATCCAACAATACGATGTCAGCATCACTATATACAGCTCTTGCTAAACAGACCCGTTGTCTCTGACCTAAACTTAGATTGACCCCTCTATCACCAATTTCTGTCATTTCCCCATAACTTAATAAACCCAGATCTCTGTTAAGTGCACAAATATGTATGATTTCCTGATATTTCTTGGAATCATAAGATTTACCAAAGAGAATGTTTTCCTTCAGTGTATCATTTAATAACCATGCGTCATGAGGAACATAAGAAATTGAACCACGAATCTTGCAAATTCCATTATCCTTGCGAAGTCGACCTAAAATTGCACTCAAAATTGATGATTTTCCAGCCCCAACATCACCAACGATAGCAATTACTTCCCCTTGTTTCACTTTCATATTTAAGAATTTCAAAGTAGCATCGGGATCTCCTTCATATCTAAAATCAGCATCATGAATAAGCACTCTAATCGATGGATCACCATCTATTGGATCTTCCTCCTGTTTCAAGAGTGCTAATTCCGGTTTCTTTAAGAATTCATCCAATTTCTCAAAAGAATCCAATGCACCTATAAGAATAAATAAGTGAATATTAATTACAAGTCCAAAGATTACTCGGATGAATTAATTCTTTTTCGAAATTACCCAAAGTCGTTCTAACAGCAATGGGAAGCATTATAAGAGGATATCTGATAAAGTAAAGGAAAATTTATATATACATTATAAAATATATAAAATAATGACAACGATACATACGGCATGTGAACTCACCTTACAGTATAAAATAGAGCTAATACAGTAAACATTGTGCTTGCATCAAGAACATTATTGTTATCAGAATCTGCTGGCAAGACCTTGACACATAAACACCCCAACATAGCTAAAACAGGTGCGCCAAATACAACACAAAAAGTCCACACCTTCACGACAATTCCAATCAACAGTTGGGTCCATTCCCTCTGACGCACTCGACCAACTCGTTCACGGAAATAAGATTCCCATGCATAAAACTTAATTAATTTTATGGCGGTAAGAATTTCAGACATGAGATGGATACGTGAAGATGTGATACTTGTAGTTGAATTGGATATGCTGGAGGTAAGTCTACCAAGTTTATATTGTATAGGAAAAAGAATAAGAAGGATAAATAGAGCTACATGATTTGGAAATAAAACGATAATTAATAATTTAAAAAAAAATTGTAAAAAATGCTCTTTAATACATACCTGGTAAACCAGCAATACCAAGCTGTACTAAAGCCAAAACAATAACAGCTTCATAAAATCAAGAGAATTAGTATCTACAATGCAAATGCATTACAATGTACAAAGTTTAATTAAATACCTATAATTTCTACAGCGGAACTCCATAGAAAATGAAAATTTACACAAGATTCTGCCACTCTAAGTAACGTTGTGAGGTAATTTAGATAGATTAAAATTTTTTATAAAATTAGAGTAAGTATCCGAAATAAATGTACGTACCTGTTACAATCACCTGCAACCAAATCGACTTAAAAATAAGATAATAATATTAGCAAATTTCATTTTGGTCATTTTGTTACGTTGCAAAACGCAATGATATTTCACACACCAATATCACGAGTTCCACCATGCAAAGAACTCAGGCGCAATGATTTTCGATAAATCAATACCATTAATGCAGCACGAACCTAATGCGAAGTAAGATTAGTATTTGGAAACGATATTAAGAAAGATATATAAACATCTATATATTATATAAATATAAAAAAATTACCTGCACTCCGATCCTAGTAGATTCGGCAATCAGCTGATTTATAAATATGGAACTAAATAATGAACACAGGAATAACCCTAAGGCATACATATACGCTTTTAAATCAGAAATATTTGAACCTGACTCTACAAAAATGATTAATTTATTGACCAGATGATATGAACCCAAGAAAATGAAAAATGCTCCGAAAAGTTTGTATAAACCAAGGAATGCATAATAAGTGCCAAATGATTTGACAATTGCCCGACGAATTGAAGGTTTACTTTTGATTACGACAAATTTTAAAATAATGTTAAATTAGTATTTAAGCAAGAATTGATAGTTAACATCTACGATGTTATTAATGAGTATTTTTATTTATGTAAAGGTTTCTCATTACATGGAATGAAAACAAAATATGGAATTAATTATAATATGCTACCTATTTTTTTCACACTCTAAATTCCAAACTTTTTCCAATCTATCACCAACTACCTTGGCCGTTTCAGAATTTTGTAGGGTCAAATTATCACTTGCCAAATTATGTTTTCGATATATATTCAAAACATGGAATATCCATAGAAACAGCCATGACGAAATAAAGTTGAGCCTGTTACCACCATGTATTACTACATTAGGCCGATTAGAAGACCTTGAAACATTTGCGGGTGGCATCGGTGATTTTTTCAGGCTGACAAATTTTAGATCGTGGTTTCCTGAAAAAAAAAAGAATTTTTTCTTCCTACTTAATGAGGGAAATATGCTAATTAAGGCATACAATTATTGCCCCTTGAAATTAACTGGTACGGGTTCAGGTTAGGTTACATTAAATCATCGTTTGACATCAAATTATTAGCGAATTTCCTGATATAGAAGACATTGTTTAATTATTTCTCCGAACATATAAGCCTAAGCCAACTCCTATTCATGTCATGTGATTAAATTTATATTTCTTAAATAATATACCTGTTACACAAAATTATCATATTCTCAATTTTTCAATTTCATAATAAATTTGGCCACTACTTTAGCTGATCAATATCGCATAATATAAAAAAATACCCAAATCAGATGTTTGTATCATATATTAATCGATACTACTTTTACTATAATAAGTTTTTGATGTTATTAAAAATCACGTGATATATCTATCTCTTAACTACTACAGAAATTTATTATTTAATTTGACGAACTAAAAATGATTATAGCTGAAAAATTATATGTTCAATTATAACTGAAATTTTGTATTGAAACACGAAAATAAAAATGTCACGTTAAATGGATAATATAAATTTTACTACTGATCGGATATTTAAATTATATGCAATTCGTTATGGCGCATAACTTTACTTATTATTCCAAAAGTGATTAAAATAATAAAATAAAAAGTTTTATTTGAAAGAACCATTTCCGTCGATTTTCTAATTTTTAAGTGCCTGGTGACTTTTGATACCCCACTGTACATAATATTAAATTTAATACAACATACTGAAAAGATACGGCAGTATTTTATTATTGCCCATTTTTCGCTTAATATCGATTATACTACATCCGCTCCAAGTACTTGTGTCGTCATATTCCCGAACTACTTCAAACAAGTGAGCTTTGCTTATAAAAGATAAAAAAATAATTTTTTCGGGAGAAAGAGATAGGGGAATTATTAGTATGATTGTATGATACCAAGACAATAAATTTATACGAAATATGATGAAACTTAATCCCTTTCAGCACGGAACATAAAATTGTGCTAACGCCTGGAGATCTCGAAATTGCGCATTTTTCAACGCTTCATTATTTTACAGAATATGGCCTTTCTGCAACTAGACATCATTCCTCTACAATTTTCTCACATTTATTCAGAAAAAATAAAGAGAATTATTGTTTATTACTCCAAGAATCGAAATAATTGCAGAACAATTATGAATAAGTTACCTAAATTTTCACAGCCCATTTGTTTTTAAGTCAATTGCATTATTGTTAACGCTAAGCCTTTTCAAATACAAAAAGCTTACCAGCAAAACGATAGTCATTTGATAATACAAGTTCCCGTAAACCATTCACCTAACAACATATTCTTTGGTGCTAAATATGTTTTTAGGATTATCACCACCTACCAAACACAAAAGCGTTTCTCGGTTTCTTGGACCATGCCCCGTTCACCGCAAAAACATAAGAATGTTCCTCGGATTATCACCACCTACCAAACACAAAGTGTTTCTCGGTTTCTCGGGATTTCCACCTAACGAAACACAAAGTGTTTCCTCGGTTTCCGGCCCGTTCATCGATCGAAACATAAGAAATGTTTCTCGGATTATCACCACCTACCAAACACAAAGCGTTTCTCGGTTTCTCGGGTTCGTTTCCACCTTGAAACACAAAAAAGCGTTTCTCGGCTTCTCGGAGAGAAGAAACTTGCAGAATAAAGTACTATCTTTTTGCCGGTATTAAGCAAGATTTTACAATTATATAAGTAGTCAGATTAATGCATGACGCGTAATTCTGTATTTAACGCGTGAAAATCAACCCAACCTCACGTGATCTGGTCATGACATCACCTGCGTACCCATCAAAAAATGTCACGCTCTCCATTCATAAAGTGCTCTTTCAAGGATTGGCTCTACTTATGAGCCTTGTTCCGCAGGTGTGAGAGAACTTTTGTGTAATCGGTGGTGAAGATTCGCGTTCTCTCTTTATTTTTTGTTTATCCTGTATATCTTCTGAAATCGACGGAGATAATAGTTGATGAACGCCTTTTATTTCTTGCATCTTTTCATCATACTGCACATTTCCTTTTTCTTTTTCAAATTCACGATTAACCGATGCATTTCCTGAATCCCGTTCATGATGTACATTACCAATGTTAACTACACTTGAAGAAATTCTCGCTTTCTTAAAAACGGCATGTCTAGTTTCGTCAATAGCATTTAACTTCCTTTTGTTATCCTTCTCAATAAGCCACTTATTTAATGTTTTATATTCTTTTCGTAATTTTTCGTTGTTACTCAATAGACTTTTCATCGATGACCGTAACGCCTTTTGTTTATTTACTGTAGTCTTTTTTATGGGTGGGTTCCGAAGTAGACCTTGGATTGTTTCCTCCAGTGTATTGTTAATGTTATTTTAAGATTCGTTTCAAGCCAGTTTGAAAGTTTATGTTTAGTCATTATAAGTTTATTGTAAAACATGAAAATTATATTCCTTCTGAGGTTGTTAAAAACTTTACAGCCAAATGTAATCCTCCACGCCAAGTCGATTTTTTTTTGCTTTGTATTTTGAATTTTATCATTCATAATATTACTTTATTTACGACTGGACATTCTAACCAGACATTGTTCCATGGAGAATAAAAGATCGATCCGTCCGATTTACTTAAATCTTTTAAAATCGAGGCACGCAACCATAATGCCCATGCGATTACACAGCCAATGGGAAGATGGAGTTACAAAGGTTGTCTACATTGGCTTTAAAAGTTATCGTGTGCCTTGGTAAGTTTTAAAAAAATGCAAGTGTAGA